GCACAAAAAAATCAACCTGGGTATCAAAGTTGAGTTAAAATGAGAAGTTTTTTTTAAAAAAAAAAAAATAAATATTTTCTGTCTGAAAAGTGAGACCGCACACGAAACTTTGCATTTTGTTGAAAACTGAAAACGATCTAAACAAAATTGTACAACCATATGAAATTAAAAAAGTTATAATTCGTAAAAAAATAGGAATACATAATACTGAATAAAACATACAAATATATTAACTAATTACAGAGTTTCAGTGTGCTAATTCAAAATCATAAATGATACTTGAGCTAAAAAGCATAACTAAGTAAGAAAATCGAATTTCATGTCTTAAATTCAACAAGAATCGAAAATTGAAGATGAAACGAGAGGAGAGAAAAGAGTGAAGCGACACAAATGAAAAGCCTAAATCTAATGCTGACCAAATGCTATTATAGGGTCGATCTCACACGTACATTTCAGTTGATTATTGTCAACCGTTCGATCTTTTTTTTTAATTGAATATTGTATTTGGGCTCTCTGTTTGTAGGTCGTTTGCAATAAAAACAAAAAAGAAAATTACACCATGTACAACATATATCACTTTTATTACAAAATTACCACATGTATAACATTAATTACAAAATTATTAGATATATAAAAAATAATTAATTTAAGCATGCAATTAACTGATGTCATGATCGTTCCTTTATTATATAATTTAAATTAAAAACAAAATTGCCTTTTAAAAAGACAGAATTAATAAAGCCCGTGCATCGCACGGGGACTGTACTAGTGTCTAATAATAATAATCGACTTTTATTATTTAAATATATAGATAATATCGAGTAGAATTGGTTGGATTAGATAAATAGTAGTTGAGTTAAAAATTTGTATTTCAATCATAGTTTCGCCCAAAAAAAATTCCGGCAAGAGAAAATCAAAATATTTTATTTCCGGTCGCATATATTATTTCTGCGCATCAAAGTCGAAGGTATCGACGCAATATCAGTGTGTGTGTATATATATATATATATGTAGGGGCTGGTTCAAATAAAAACTAGGTCTGGTGTGAGAACCATATTTGATGTTATTTTTAATTATGTATGACGCTATTTTTAATATTGCACGGTGCTATCATTTTCACAAATGCTAATAAAAATTTTATTGCTATTTTTAATAAAATACATCCTAGTTAAAAATAGCACTAAAACACAATCAATCATAGCACTACATACAAGTAAAAATAGCGGTCCTAGTTAAAAATAACACTAAAACACAATCAATCATAGCACTACATACAAGTAAAAATAGCGGTTCTCACGGTTCTCACGCTAGGACTTAGTTTTCATTTGAACCACATTATATATATATATATATATATATATATATATGTGTGTGTGTGTGTGTGTGTGTGTGTGTGTGTTTTGAAAGAATATTAGACAAGCTAATAGAGTATCAATACTCTATGGATGAGATATTATACCATCCAACCAAGTTCATGTCTTTAAAAGTTAAATTCGTTAACCACAGATTATCTTTCTTTTTCTGTCTTTAAAAGTTAAATTCGTTAACAGAGCATTTTTATGTATGAAAAAAAAGAAAAAAAAATATATTTCCAATATTTGTAATTGTGAAAATTACCCTAAATTTGTTCTTAATAAATTATTATCCATTTTTTCACATTCCATTTTAAGTAAAACTATAAGAGGATGGCCCAAAAACTTTTGCCCATCCACCCACCACTGCTCGCAAAAATTGCGCTGTTCCATACTTCCATCATTTACACATTCCAAATCATGATCATTCCAAAAACTGAAGATAAAGAAGGGAAAAAATAGAAGGAAAAAAAAA